TCAGCCAGGTCACGATCTTGCGGTCCGGTGAGTTCGAGTTCCCAGCGTCGGCTCTGGGCTGATGGTTCAGAGCCTGGAAGCGTTTCCGATTCTGTGACCGCCCTCTCCCTGCCTTTCGCCCCGTTCATGCTCCCTCTGTCTCCTCATACCCTTCTGTCCCAAAAATAAATAGCGTTGAAAAAAATGTAAAGTGTGGCAATAATCGGACGCAAACACACATTTTAGCATTTCTTATGTTATATTTATGTGAATAAACCCCTCATTGAAATGGTGAGGGGCAGAGCATGAATGAAGCTTAGCATTGGCGTCTGACTTCAAAACAGCCAAGTGATTGTTCCATCACTTTATCACCACTAACCCCCTGAGCTGTATTTTGGCCGGAGAGACATTATTTATGCTCTCAAAGTGGAAAAGTGGAGGCTCAGCCACACTGCAAACCAGTGTCCAGCAGCCTGTGCTCTTGGCATGACTACACTGCCAGGCAGTTTTGGGAAGAGGAATGGATCCCATCCTAATCTGGGAATAAACTGTCTGAGGTTGCGACAGGCACACAAAGCTGAGTTGACTCCTCATGTCCTACCACCATGGCCTGTACATAAAAGAGCACAGGAAGTATTATTTTTTAGAAGTGACTCTTCTAGGCAGGAAAGGAGAGTGTAAGTTATCGGAACATCCATGAGGGCTAAATGTTTGTATAAAAAAATAGATGTTATGTTGATAGCATCTCACTCTAAAAAAATGTCCAGGCTAAACAGGAGGAACAGGGTAATGTGTTAAAAAAACACTAAATACATTTTGTTAAGTGAAACTGAATACACTCCTAGATAGAAAACCCAGGGCGGGTGAAGTATCTTTACAACACAGTGGCCTGGCTTTCAGGTGAAATCAGATTAAACAACAACAACAACAATATGAAAAAACCCATATGATAACAGTACCTCTTGGTAAAAAACACCCTGGGGTGTAGGATGCATCGCTAAGCTCTAAAGTTGCAGTGTCTGTTTTCTTGATGATTTACACTTTTTTTGCTGTCAACCATCACATTTACCTGGAATAACTGACAAAAAAATGTGTTTGAATCTCTAAAGTGGTTTGATGACAAAACTACTTTCAAAGGTTTGATATGTTCATTCAAAGTTCTCATCTCTGTAAATTAGCTAACTGACTCTAAGATTCATATGGAAGCATAAGGACTTTAAAAACAAAGCTGGACTAATTTACCTTGTTTACCACGAATTATTATAAAGCTTGCCAGTATCCAGACAGTATGGGATTTAGTGTCAGACAGACAATATAGATCAATGGAAAATAATAAAGAGACCAAAAATATCCACACGTGCATGAACAACTAGTTTTCAACAAAAGTGCGAAAGCAATTCAGACAAGGACAATTGATGAGAGACAGATGCAGAAAAAATGTTCTTTTAGCCCAAGGGCTGACCTACCGCATGGTCTGATAAGGATCAAATACACACTGGTTGCTCATTCTTTTTTTTTTTTTAATGGTTGCTACATTTTAAGGTCTCATGACTGCCTGGGAATCTCACCAAAAGTTAATATCAAGCTGAATGATGCACACAAAGAGAAATCTGCGAAAGTAGTTTTGCCATCGTAGAATTTGAAGAAAACACATTTACACGTTTAATACTCTCTGCACATAGCCTCCTGTTGGAGCACTAAACATGACCTTCATTCAGGAAAGCGCAGCTCTTCAGAGATCTATGGTCCTGTTCCCATGCTACTTAAGTAAACTACTAGGTTGCACCTAAAATATCTCAGAATTCTTTCTTGACCGTCGTGCTCAATGATCCCACAACAATAATTTTTTCCACAAGTGGGCTGGAACAAATGAATATCCATTTGCAAAAAAAAAAAAAAAAGAACCTTAATCCAATGTTTTACCATATACAAAAATTAACTCAAATGGTCACGAAACCATACAAGACAAAAAGCAAAATGTCCTGAAAGTTCAGGGAAACAACTGTGACCTTTGGTTAGGCAAAAATTTCCTGGATATGACACCGGAAACTGATCATGAAGACAAATTGATGAGTCATCAATAAAATTAAAGCTTGTGTTTAAAAAGACATTATAGAAAATGAAAAGCTAAACAGACTGGGAGAAATATTTGCAAATCATATATCTGATCAAGCCCATCAGACTGAATAAAGGACTGTAAAACACAGTAAAAAAAACAAACAAAACAAAAAAAACAGCCCCAAAACAGCCCAACACAGATCTGAATGAACTTCCCAAGAAGATATACAGGCAACATGATAAACACACTGCAAAAAAAGGTACTCAACACTAAGTCACTTGGGAAATGCAAGTTCTAAAACCCCAATGAGGATATCAGTACATGCTCATCCTGTCAGCCACGGAGGATGGAATGGAATCCAGGCATTCCACTCTTGAAGTATTTACCCAAAACAAAAAAAATCAAAGTGCATATCCATTCAAGACTTGCATGGAATGTACATAGTAACTTTATCTATGATAGCTAAAACTGAACAGCTCATATTAAGTCCATTAGTGTGAATGGATAAACAAACTGAGTAGATAAACCATACACCTGGAGTACCACCAGCAATAAAAGGATTAACCATTGACACACGCACACAACATGAGTGAATTTAAAAGGAATTGATTGGCTCAGTCAGTGGAGTGTTTGACTCTTGATCTCAGAGTTGTGGGTTCAAGCCCCACGTTGAGTATAGGTATTACTTAAAAAAAATAAAATCTTGGTGGGTGCCAACAGCTCAGTTGGTTAAGTGTCCGACTTCAGCTCAAGGTCATCTTCATGGGTTTGTGAGTTCAAGCCCTGCACCAGGCTCTGTGCTGCCAGCTCAGAGGCTGGAACCTGCTTTGGATTCTGTCTCCTCTCTCTGCCCTCCTGCTCATGCTCTCTCTCTCTCAAAAATAAATAAACATGAAAATTTTTTGCAAAAAATTACGGGCGTCTGGGTGGCTCAATCAGTTGAGCATCCTGGAAACTCGTTTTGGCTCAGGTCATGAATCTCATGAATGGGATTGAGCCCCACACCATGAGAGCTCTGCTGCAATCAGTGCTTTGGGATTCTCTCTCCTCTCTCTCTGCCTCTGGCTTTCTCTCTCAAAATAAATAAACTTTTTTTTTTTTTTTTTTTTGATGAGTAAAGGCTGATTACAGAGCACAAGAGACTTTCAAATTTGGGTGATCAACATGCTTGTCATTGGTGGCTCAATGGGGAGCGACAGATGCCAAACTGATCAAATTGTACATTAAAATATGTAATTCACTGTGCATCACTTATACCTCAGTAAATCTGTTAAGAAATTATTGTGGCAGTGAGAAAACTTTTAGTTTCTCAGCTGGTTGGGTTAATAATACAACTCCGTGTAGGTTTTGTTCCCAGTCACAGAACATAATAAACTCATCGGGGGGGTGCTTAGAGGGAATGCAAATTCCCGACCCCACCCTTCCGCGGAGCAGGGCCCAGGGGTCTGGACTCCGACATGTCCCCCAGGTGACCATGATGCACACGCTCAAGTTTGAGAAGGACTGAAACGGGGTTAGTGTGATCATAAACATAAACCACTTGGATCCATCCCAGCAGTGTCTAGGAGAGTGGGAAGGTGTTCCCTTTCCGAAGCCTGTCAACAGAGGACTGAGAGGCCCCCCTTCAGGTGAACAGCAAGCAGCACCAACCTTCGCCCGAGCAAGCAAGGGCCCCTCTGACAACTAGCCAAGGTCTCACGCAGAGTCGGCACATACAGGGCAGCTAGACCAGTGCCATTTCCAATAAACACACCCAACTTCTCTGGTGCAAGGTTTCACGTGAATTTGCCTTTTACTCTGATATTTATGAAATCCTGAGTCCTAGGTTGCAGCCTTCCTTAGCAAACTTTATGAGTCTTTGAGATCCTCACAAGGCAACCTGTGGAACCATTATAAGCAATTCAGATGAACTAGATCATCCCTGGACAGGTGCTGCCTTAGAGGAATCGGCTTCGGGCTCACAGCTGTGACTGGAGACCACAGTGCAGGTGTCAGCGTAGGGGGAAGAGACACGACCTGCCAGGAAGACAGAGCAGAAGCAGGGAAGGAATGCTAAATGATTTGGGGATGGTGTTTATACTTAAAAATGCCTTTCCTTCCAAGTTTCAGATTTGGGGCTTTGGGGCCTTTTGGACTGAAGAGAAAGAACCGTAGTTTTATCTCTTAAGTGTCTCAGCACAGCCTGGGGAGGTTGTGGAATATCAGCAAAATGCCCATGGCAAGTTTCTAGCACCAATTCCATAATTAGGGTCAGCCAAGTTTAAAAGAAAGCCTGCAGAAAGTGGAAAGAAGATGTAAGTGTGGAGGAAAACCTGGTGAAGAGTCCAGTGAAACAGAAAGAAGGGAGAGATTTGCTCAGTCTCCCCACCCTGGAACACGCTCCTTTGAGTCATTTGTTTACATGTCCTAGCAAAGTCAGAGCAGGGGGGTGACAATCTTAGTCTCCACCGGTGCCCCTGGCTAATTAAAATCAGCCAAGAGTCAGACGGCTGAGAAGAAAATTATAGAAACGAAGTATTTATTACTTTTCCTGAAAAAGATGGGGAAAGAGTGCCCACGAGAGGGATGTTCATAAGCAAATCCTCTGCTTTTTGCCACGCCTTTTCTAAATAACAAACCATTTGGCAAAAGAAAACAATTCATGTGAGCCAGAACTGCCTTTTGAGAACAGGTTTAATTCTGACCCAGAATTATAATTTGAAAAATCCTATCAATTCCACCACGCAATTCCTGAGTAGGAACTACTCGGACTTTTTTCCCCCTTAACTTCTTCTGAAAAACCAAATTGGCTTCCTGTAGCTGCATTTAGCTGGGAAGTCAAATGCACTTCTTTATCATTAACTACCATAGAAAAGCACACTTAGCTTGCGTCTCAAGTTGTCTTCGGTAAAGTCTATTTTGCTTCCAGTAGTTGTATTTTCCCGATTTCTCTTCCCCAAGTTCTGCTCTCTGTGGAACGCCATTAAGTCTTGTTTTTCCCCTTTGATTTGGGAGCACCGGGCCAACGGAAGCCTCGCAGGTGCAGGCAGTCGGCAACGTTGTGGGCGATGTAGTAGAGGTTCAGCATGGCAGCTGGGCTGAGAATGTCCACTTCCGGTTTCTTCTGTTTCTTCCCGCGAGATTTGTCCGGGCCTTTTCCTTGTTTCCCTTTACCTGGCTTTCAAAGACAAGTATATTCACAGGGCATAAATTAGTTTTTACAACCTTGACATAACTTTCAACATTTCTTATTGAACTGAAAGGGGGGGGGGTGGGGACTCATGAAAGGAAAAAACTGTAACAACAATAAAGACTTTTGCTGGGAGTGGGGGGAGAAGTCACATGCAATCGAATTCAACAAGTGAAGCACCCGGATTAAAAAGAGACCCAACCCAATGTAACAAACAGGTGGCCCTTGTCTGCATTGATTTGAACAAATTATAAAAAGACATTTTTAGGCAATCAGGGAAATTTGGTAATCTCAAGGAATTATTAATTCTGTTAGGTGTGATAATGGCTTCTATTGGGTCATGGAAGAAAATGTTTACACATTTCAGTGATGCACACTAAAATCTGTGGAAATGAAATGAAAGAAGGCCTCAGATGTGCTTTAAAATACTGCAGCTCCTGGGTCGCCCAGGTGGCTCAGTGAGTTAAGCATCCAGTTCTTGGTTTCGGCTCAGGCCATGATCTCATGGTTTCTGGGTTCAAGCCCCGCGTCAGGCTCTGTGCTGACAGTACAGAGCCTGCTTGGGATTCTGTCTCCCTCTCTCTCTGCCCTTCCCCTGCTTGCTCATGCGCGCTCTCTCTCTCTCTCTCTCTCTCTCTCTCAAAAATAAATAAACATTAAAAAACAACCTTTTTAAAATAAAAATACTGCAGCTCCCCCTTGCACTCCACCCCACAAAAGGCCAGATGAAGCCAATGTGGCAAAATCCTGACAGTTTTTGAGTCCGAGAAATGGATATGTGGGGAATCACTTTACTATTCTATTTTTGTGTATGCATACAATCTTTCGTGATAAAAATGTAATTAAGGGGTGCCTGGGTGGCGCAGTCGGTTAAGCGTCGGACTTCAGCCAGGTCACGATCTTGCGGTCCGTGAGTTCGAGCCCCGCGTCGGGCTCTGGGCTGATGGTTCAGAGCCTGGAGCCTGTTTCCGATTCTGTGTCTCCCCCTCTCTCTGCCCCTCGCCCGTTCATGCTCTGTCTCTCTCTGTCCCAAAAATAAATAAACGTTGAAAAAAAATGTAATTAAAAGTATTAGCTAATCGGGACGCAAACACACATTTTGCTTGGCATTTCTTATGTTGTAGTCTCGACCTCATTAAGTAGTCGTGAGGGCAGAGACATGAATGTAAGGCGCTTAACGCAGCGTCTGACTTCAAGGAAACAATAAGTGATTGTTCCCATCACTTTATCACCACTAACCCCCTGAGCTGTATTTTGACGGAGAGAGACATTATTTATGTCTTCAAAGTGGAAAAGTGGAGGCTCAACAAGGCCACACTGCAAACCAGTGTCCAGCAGCCCAGCACCTGTGCTCTTGGCATGACTACACTGCCAGGCCGGTGCCTTTTGGGAAGAGGAATGGATCCCATCCTAATCTGGGAATAAACTGTCTGAAGTTTTGCGACAGGCACACAAAGCTGAGTTGACTCCTCATGTCCTATGGCCCACCCATACATAAAAGAACAGGAGGAAGTATATTATTTAGAAAGTGACTCTTCTAGGCAAGGGAAGGGAGAGTGTAAGTTATCAGGAACATCCGCAAGGGCTAAATGTTTGTATAAAATAGATGTTATGTTGATAGCATCTCACTCTAAAAATGTCCCAGGCTAAACAAGGAGGAACACAGGCAATGTGTTAAAAAACACTAAAATACATTTTTGTTAAGTGAAACGGAATACACTCCTAGATAGAAAACCCAGGAACGAAGATGAGAAGTATCTTGCAACACAGTGGCCTGGCTTTCAGGTGGAAATCCAGATTAAAACAACAACAACAACAACAACAATATGAAAACCCATATGATAACAGTACCTCTTGGTAAAACACCCCCTGGGGGTGTAGGATGCACGTTGCCATAAGCTCCTAAAAATTCTGAGTCTTGGCTTTCTTGATGATTTTACACTTTTTTGCATGTCAACCATACGACTTACCTGGAATAACTGACAAAAAAAATGTGTTTTAATCTCTAAAGTGGTTTGATGACTAAAACTCGCACAAAGGTTTGATATGTTCATTCAAAGTTCTCATCTCTCTGTAGAAATTGGCTAACTGACTCTAAGATTCATATGGAAACGCAAAGGACTTTGAAAAAACAAAGCTGAAGGACTAATTCTACCTTGTTTCAAGAATTATTATAAAGCTACAGTATCCAGACAGTATGGGATTAGTGTCAAGACAGACACATAGATCAATGGAAAATAATAAAGAGACCAAAAATAGGTCCACACGTATATGAACAACTAGTTTTCAACAAAAGTGCGAAAGCAATTCAATAGGACAAGGACAATTGATGAGAGACAGATGCAGAAAAATGTTCTTTAGCCCAGAAGGCTGACCTATAGCCTGCATAGTTCTGATAAGGATCAAATACACACTGGTTGCTCTATTCTTTTTTTTTTTAATGGTTGCTACATTTTTAAAGGGTCTCATGACTGCCTGGGAATCTCACCAAAAGTTAATATCAAGCTGAATGATGCACACAAGAGAAATCTTGCGAAAGTAGTTTTACACGTAGAATTTGAAGAAAACATTTACGATCTAATACTCTCTGCACATAGCCTCCCGTTGGAGCACTAAGCATATAACCACCAACTTCATTCAGGAAAAGCGCAGCTCTTCCTGCCTAAGGGTCCTGTTCCCATGCTACTTAAGTAAACTTACTAAGTTGCACCTAAAATGTCTCAAGAATTCTTTCTTGACCGTCGTGCTCAATGATCCCACAACAATAATTTTTTCCACAAGTGGGGCTGGAACAATGAATATCCATTTGCAAAAAAAAAAAAAAAAAAAAAAAAAAAAAAAAAAAAAAAAAAAAGAACCTTAATCCAATGTTTTTACCATATACAAAAATTAACTCAAAATGGCTCATACACTTAAAACCAAAAAGCAAAATGTCCTAGAAGAAAGTTCAGGGGAAAACCTTTATGACCTTTGGTTAGGCAAAAATTTCCTGGATATGACACCGAAGCACGATCCATAGAAGAACAAATTGATAGAGTCACCATCAAAATTAAAAACTTGTGTTCTTCAAAAGACATTGTTAAGAAAATGAAAAGCTAAGCCACAGACTGGGAGAAAATATTTGCAAATCATATATCTGATCAAGCCCTTACATCCAGAATAAAGGACTCGCAAAACACAGTAAAAAAACAAAACAAAACAAAAAAAAACAGCCCCAAAACATGGCCAACAGATCTGAACAGACACTTCCCCAAAGAAGATATACAAATGGCTGATAAACACACGAAAAGGTACTCAACACTAAGTCACTAGGGAAATGCAATTAAAACCCCAATGAGATATCAGTACATGCTCATCCAGCCACGGAGGGATGGAATGGATCCAGGCATTCCACTGCGAAGTATTTACCGAAAGAAATCAAAGTGCATATCCATTCTAAGACTTGTACATGGAATGTACATAGTAACTTTATCTATGATAGCTAAAAACTGAACACAGCTCAGAAGTCCATTAGTGAGTGAATGGATAAACAAACTGGGTATAACCATACACTGGAGTACCACCCAGCAATAAAAAGGATTAACCATTGACACACGCTACAACATGAGTGAATTTAAAAGGAATTGATTGGCTCAGTCGGTGGAGTGTTTGACTCTTGATCTCAGAGTTGTGGGTTCAAGCCCCACGTTGGGTATAGGTATTACTTAAAAAATAAAATCTTGGTGGGTGCCTGCGTGGCTCAGTTGGTTAAGTGTCCGACTTCAGCTCAAGGTCATGATCTCATGGTTTGTGAGTTCAAGCCCTGCACCAGGCTCTGTGCTGACAGCTCAGAGGCTGGAACCTGCTTTGGATTCTGTGTCTCCCTCTCTCTCTGCCCCTCCCCTGCTCATGCTCTCTCTCTCTCAAAAATAAATAAACATGAAAATTTTTTTAAAAATTGGGGGCGTCTGGGTGGCTCAATCAGTTGAGCATCCGACTCGATTTTGGCTCAGGTCATAATCTCATGGTCGTGGGATTGAGCCCACCATAGGGCTCTGCACTGTCAGTGCTTGGGATTCTCTCTCTCTCTCCCTCTCTCTCTGCCCCTCTCTGGCTTTCTCTCTCTCTCAAAATAAATAAACTTTTTTTTTTTTTTTTTTTTTTTAATGAGTAAAGGGCTGATTACAGAGGAGCACAAGGAGACTTTCGGGGGTGATCAACATGCTTGTCATCTTGATTGTGGTGATGGCTCAATGGGAGCGACAGATGCCAAACTGATCAAATTGTACATTAAAATATGTGCAATTCACTGTGCATCACTTATACCTCAGTAAATCTGTTAAGAAATTATTGTAAGCGAGTGAAAACTTTCAGTTTCTCAGCTGGTTGGGTTGGCTTAATACAACTCCGTGGCCCTTGGTTGTTCCCAGTCGCAGAACACATAACTCGTGACGTGAAACTCTCCAAACTGCTTAATGAAGACCACTTGGCTCCAGCCACACTGCCCTCCTTTTGGTTCCCTAACCTGCCCCGCTCCTCCCTGATCCCCCTGATCCCACCCTGTTACTTCCCTTCGTGTGGGGCTCTGCTCAGATATCACCTCTCTAGAAAAACCTCTCAGATACTGTATCTATATTCTATCTATAACTAGGGTGACCATATAATTTCTTGCCCAAACCAAGATACTTCAACAAACATAAACTGGGACTGTCCAAGGCAAGCAGGGAGGGGATACAGGTGGTTCCCAGCCTCCCTCTCAGCACTGTCACTTTCTAGCTCCCTACCCCAAGCACACTCCACTATGTCATAGGGCTATTTTGTTTATTTATTGTTTGTCTCCTAACCAGAGGTTTGTCTATGAGGTCACCACTTGAATTCCCAGGGCCTAGACCAATGTCTGGGACGAACAGATACTTGCCGAGTGAATAAATTGCAACTCAGATGTAATACAGTCCTAGGATTTAGAAAGCAAATGTAGATAGCTGCTTTTCTGAATTTTAAGAGGGGCTCCTTCGTTCATTCGACAAATATTTAACAAATATCTACTGAACAGCAGGACCTGCAGTTCTGGGCTCCTGTCTTCATGAGGCTTACTCTCCAGTGAGGGAGAAATTACAAACACGTTCACTCCCTCTCCCATGAAGGAGAGGCCAGGTTATCTGGCATTCCGATGACACAGGATGGGCAGGGTGTGACCCAATCTGGGACATGAAGGGTTCCTGAAGAGCCGCCTGTGGGCTGAGGGGCAGGGACTTCCCAAACAGCCTGTGCAAAGACTTTGAGGTTGGAGGGCACATGCCAAACTGAAGGGACCTCACAAAAAAGGTCAGTGTGGCTGGCCTATAAGCAACCATGATGGGGGGCGCCAAGTGAGAGGAATTTAGGCTGGAGAGGTAGGCAGTGTGCAACTCTGGCCTGCAGGCCTTTGAAGCTACAGTGTTTAACCTTTATCTGAGGAGCAGTGGAAATCCATTAGCTTAAATGGCTTTATTGAACCGTTTTTGCTTCAGTTCCCTGGGCTCTGAAAGAAAATGACAATACCAACCATGTGAAGTAACCCGGGGGATGACACAATTTAAATCAAAAGACAGGGGCGCCTGGGTGGCGCAGTCGGTTAAGCGTCCGACTTCAGCCAGGTCACGATCTCGCGGTCCGTGAGTTCGAGCCCCGCGTCAGGCTCTGGGCTGATGGCTCAGAGCCTGGAGCCTGTTTCCGATTCTGTGTCTTCCTCTCTCTCTGCCCCTCCCCCGTTCATGCTCTGTCTCTCTCTGTCCCAAAAATAAATAAACGTTGAAAAAATAAATAAACTTTAAAAAAAGAAATTAATTAAAAAAAAAGACATCTATTTAGTGCTTTTACGTGCAATGAAGTAGAAGGAACACAGATTTACCAAACACCTTTCTATACTACAGTCAAATGGGGGTGAGGAGTGAGGCTTTCCAAGGTGAAATAGGTGAAGCTCTGTGAGGCATAGAGGGTCATAGATACTTAGGGGGCAATACGGCAGCAGGAGGGCCCATCTTGGAGAAAAGTAGATCTGTAGCTTGAGATGGGGCAGGAGGCTTCGAAAAGAATGTGAGTCCAGTGTGGAATGTGTTTTCTGTTTTGGTTAAAGCAGAGAATATGGCAAATAGAGCTCAAGAGGTTGAGGCCTTTTTACCCCGAACTCTGAGCAGTACTTAGTTGAGCAGACAGTAGAAATTCCTGAGGACGTGGGGTGGGGGTTACAAGGTCACAGCCATTCTGGGACCATCAACCTGGCATCCAAAAGAGATGGAGAGCCCTGGGACAGAGGTAGTGAACTGCTGCTGGAATCCAGGTAGGTGGTAAGGAGGGCAGGACTTGACCAATGGCAGAGAGGGTGGGAAGCAGGTCGAAATGACTGGATGAGGGCTGATGAACGGTAATGTTTAGGAGTTTGAGGCCAGGAGAATCAACATGCCATTGGAAAATGCAGAGAAGGTAGCGGTTAAAAAGGAGCTGGATTTTGAACACAGCTGGGAAATGCTCTCTGGTGGAGAGATCCAGTAGGAAGTGGGAAATAAGGTTTAACATTTCAGAGTGGTTTGGCTTAAGATGGAGCTCTGTGAGCCAACGACTTGGAGGGGAGATAGAAGTTTAAGGATGTTGCAAGCCTTCCCAGGCATAAAATGCAAGCATTTCCTCTGCTAAAGGTTTCCTCCAAAGTCTTTCCTCAAATTAGGGTTGGAAGAGAGACTCACTCCTTAGAGCCGGCAGTCTGGATCGCACCAGGGCTCATTCTCTACTTCTTAATCCGAAGAGAAGAATCCCGCAAGGGACCCCAGAAGGCAGCGGCAGCAGGAGGTAAGGGCATGGGCCAGTCGCTGTTGCCACGTACTGGCACCCTGGGGTTTCACAGCACTGCACCAGCCTCTCTTTATTGCCCACACATATGA